TTGCCGGTTCAACCGTTGATTCAACTGGTTGGGCCATGTAAATCATGAGCCATTGATATTTTCATTTTAATGTCCGATCTAGTTCTGAAAATATTGAGCATTATATAGGAGTGTATTGAAACTTTGGTATCTAAAGTTGGGTTCTCCCATTTATTTATTCTACGTTAGGGTAATCAAGAAATTGAGGATCTTCTTATAGCTAGTGCCAGTAAAAAAGTGAGTCCATTAAGGTGGGTATATGAATCATCACTTTCTTTATAGTCTGTTTTAATTTCTCATGTGCAAGCTTTCAACTCTCATTCTGCTTCTTTATAGCCAGCCACAAGGAATGGCATTGATTGATTACATTGTTCGTTTCGTGTTTTCTGCTGGTTTTTTTCCGTTTTGTTTGTTGTTGTTTTTACTCAGACATGTTTTTTGTAATTTAAGTTGGGTAATGTAATATCTTTGATTTACAGCTTGTTTGGATTCGGCCAAAAATCAATTATTGAGCCAAAATAATTGATTTTTGCAAAATTTATCCAAACAGCGGCCAAAATTAATAATTGATTATTGAGCAAGAACCACATTTTGAAATAAGCTTTGAAAAGCTATTTATAGATTTAATTTTATTGTTAAATAATATATTTTACTTCTTAAATAAAATTTAACAAATTTAATAATATTAAATACAACTTTGTCAATAATTTAATTTTAAAAAAATAATATTTTTTATGATAACTTGCACATTTAAAATCAAGTTCAGTATTCAAACAAATGCATTATAATGTAATCAATTATAATTAAAATTAATCATATTAATTAATTATTTTTATAATCAATTATATTTAACTTAAATTTAGGAGAAGAAGAAGAGGAAGTCTATCTTGCCTTTGCTCCAGCTTCTAAACTCTTCTTGAGTGCAACCTACGCGGACAGAAGAAGCACATATGGATCCTGTTGTTTACATAACAGATTTACATAGGACAAACAAGAGAGGAAGAGAGAGGAGGAGAGGTGGTTCGCTTCTTATTGTTTTTCTCTCTGCTTTTGACTACGTGTTAGGAGTGGGGGATTATAATTCGGGAGAATTTTATCAAAGGCCCCTCAAATGTGATATAATTTTCAATTAAGATTCAGAAAAACTCTAAAATTTTACTGCAAGCTTATAAGACTGAAATGAAATAATTTTTTTTAGTTAAATGGCCAAAATATCTTTCAATTATCATTAATATAGTAAAATAATAAGTTAAGTTATAATGCTTAGAAATAACATAATTGAAATAATGAGTTAGGATATAATTTTTACAAATAACATTGCTATAATAACGAATTAAATTATGATTTTTACAAATAATATTATTAAAATAATAAATAAAGTTACATTTCTTATAAGTAATATTAAATAACAAAAAGTTACATTTATTCTAATAATATTAATTATAAAAATTGTAGTTTGACTCATTATTTTAATAATATTTTTGTAAAAATCATAATTTATCATGTTATTTTAGTAATAATATAAATTATAATTGAAGGATATTTTGATCATTTAATTAAAGAATTCATTTTATTTCAATCCTTCAGGTCTGCAATAAAATTTCAGAATTTTTGGGGCTCCATTGAAATTATATCACATCTAAAAGCCTTTGATGAAATTCTCTCTAATTGTTTCCTTCATTTCCAAAAGGAATAAATTGAATTTGGATGCCATAACTTTAGTCTATTCACAAAAAGACCCTGCGCGTAAAATGAACGTGGCGAAAATCCACCACCACCAAGGGTGAACTAATTTCAATATCCACTTTTTCAAATTTTCAATTTATATGCATATAGGGAAATTTTGGTTAATTTGTTTTGCTTAAATGCTTGTGACGAACAAAGTTCCTTAACATCTTAATATTTCAGGGCCTGATGATATTATTGCCTTTCTTAATTGATCCCCAATTATAAGTTTCCCTATAAAAAAATAAACATAGGGTCTTAAGTGGTGCATGAAGTGTGATAAACGAATTATATTATATTATATTATTTATAATTTATGATTTCTTACAGAGTTTATATATATATATATATATATATATATTTATATTGATATATTGATTGATCGTGATGAAAAAATATAGTGGATAAGAATGATGAAACAATTTCTTACATTACGCTGCTCTTACTCAATTAACTTTACCATGAAGAAATGATCTATCTATTCGATAAACACTTAATTTATGTACTTTTTTATTAAATTTTTTATTTAAAATATAATGAATGTACAAAAATATATAATTTAATTGAAAAAACAACATTATTGTCTTAACACATAAACATATAGTATTGTTATTTAAAAATAACACTATAACACTGTTTTGTCCTTCATCAAATAATGCTTTGTTTCATGGCAAAAAAGAAATAACACCTTATCTTGTTTCTTCCTTTCATTTTATGTTTCCGATAACTTAATATTTTTCGGCCAACAGACAAATCTTATGGTTTTACATCTTTTTGGCCAACGTATCACTCTTTGTTGGATGCTCTTCCTCCTAGCTAGCTCATTTATCCAAAAAAATTAATAAACAGTCTAACATTTATTATATTTTACATTAAAACCGATTTATTATATTTATTAATGATATATTATTATATTTTAATAATAAATTTTTCGTACATTTTAAATTTTTAATAATAAATTTTTTCAATATCAATATAAACTGACGATACTTCTAAATTTTTAAAAATTTAATTCATATTTTTAGATACAAGATTTTTTTTAACCAATGAGCTAATTTATCTCATCCTGTTTTGCAAAAAGCAATGTTTTAATATTCATACTCAATGTTAAACGGAAAATGTCAACGAGTCTTGATTTATACAGTCTTTTGATGCACTGATAACATTATAACTAAATAAAAAATAATATTAAATACATATAAATATATAAATATATATATATATATACACACACACATATAAACAAATTTACAGCATATCAAGTTGTTAAAAAAATAACAAAACATGACCATAAAATTAATATTATAATTTTATAACTTATCAAATATAGATAAATCTTAATTCAATTATATATAAGTACATTCAAAAGTATCTACACTTATATATATGGTTGTCAATATTTTTTTAAAAAAATAATCCTAAATTATACTATATAGATATAAAGAGTCTAAAAATAAAATTTGCTTTTAGTAGGGTACATTTTCTAAATTTTTTTAACTTCTTTATATTATATTTAGGCTTGTCTAATTTTCTAAAAATTATTTTGATATCTGACTTAATGACAACTCAATTTTAATTCAACTCGATTCAACCATAAAAATAATTATTTAATTCAAACAAAACTTTTAAAGATTTTGATCAATGGTCTTACTTGTCCCACTGTTTGATCAGTCTGATTTTTTAGAACAATGGGCAAGCCTCTTCTAGTCTACTCTATGTGTAAGTTGTATTCCATGATATCAACATTTAAAAGTATTATTTGTAACGTTTTTGTAAATTTTATCCGTTTCTCTTTATCACTTGTTGTTTTGTTTTTTATAATTAAAATCATATATATTCCAATTTTTTAAACTACCTCTTATAGATTCATAATTTTCATTCGCAAGAAACAATTAATGCAGTCTTATTTTAATTAAATATAAGAATATTTTAGTAAGTTTTTTTAATTTCCAAATACAATTATTATAGTTAATTTTTTTTACTGTGTGATATATTTAATTTTTTTATGAACAAAAACGGAAGGAATATATCACAATCGTATCATTATGGCTTAGGCAAATTTCAGTTACATTGTCAATTGCACCGAACTCACGAGGCTTTAGTACAAAGCATCGTGGCATGACTAAAACTATATGATGATGTTGTCCTGAAAAAGCTACTTTATATTTGGGACAAAGTCCACTTCAAGAAGAAACAAGAATGATTAGCTGTTAGATATATTAATTTTATTCAAAATTTTAATTTTTACTTCTATTTAAAGTTGTCAGAGTCTTTTCTTATGTCCTAAAAATTTTAATACATCATACTTCTTAAATTTATTATTATTATTATTATTATTATTATTTTAGTTCAAAAGTTACGTGGACTTATATTTTAGATTTCTTCCCCACAATTCAACTGATTTTGTTGAACATCAGACAGTGACCATTCACTTTTTCATAAAAAAAGGTCAAATAACTTATTAATAATTCTAAAGATATTCATTTTACAAATAAGATTGGCCATAATATTTGAATTATCTGAACCGGTAATATGGATAGTGTTTGATGTGAATGACTAAAATTCAAAATTTGTTGATCGCCAAAAAAAAAAAATTCAGACTTTCTATTTTTTTTTTGATGACAGAATTAAATATAAACTTTCCTGATTTACTCAGTTCAATCGTTACATATTTTAGGTAACTTGTATATTATCATTTCTCACTGTAATTTGAAACCTTATCATGTGAAATGGTTATTATCAATGATAATTTTACAGGTATTTTAGAAATTCCATTCCATCACTTGGTATTTTAAGGAATTAACATGTGATATTATCATTTTGTGTTTAAATTAATTTGAACCCCCATTACTTGAAATGTTATTACCAATAGTGGCCTCAATTATATCTTGTAAATATTTTTGATATATTTATTTAATATGATTATATATTTTAATATTTCAAGACTCAAACTTAAAATCTTATAATAAACTAATTTACTTTTTTCAATCAGTTGAACCCGCTCCCGGGACATGCACTTTATTTTTAAATATAAAATAAAAACTTTATATTGCTCAATAACGAAATCAAATTAAGTTAAAAATATTTCTTAGAAATCATTGTAAAATTACATCAAATTAAACTAAATTAATATCCACACACCGCTCATTATTAGTCATTACACGATCTGTCTCAGTCGAGAAGAGTTTATTTATTTTTATATTTCTATATATATATATATATATATATATATATATTACCTTCGTTGGATTTGGATGAGCTCATAAGACGCCAAATTATTTAGCTCCACATAAACGTACAAATAGACTTATTATACACAGATAATGACTGGATCATGGAAGCTGGTACAAACAATGTCAATTTACATTTCAACCGATTTTACCGCTAAACCAAGCATTCCTGTTGTTTGATCTCTTTCAGACTATACTGCATCGTGTCTGTGTCTCTGAGATGGATTTTCTAATGTCTAGTCTCTGACGTTTGAAGAACAAAATCCTCCCTTGCATTGCGCGGTGGAAGAAGCTGCAGTTAGCACCAGCAATCACCCTATCGATCGCCATTCAAGCATTTTTAGAAAAATGGCAGGGTTCTCTTGGCCATCTGAAGATGAGGTACACGTGATCTGCAGCGAGCAGCAATCCTAATACATTGCGATTTCTTTTCTAGCTCTGTATACCGTAATTTTTTTTTTTTGGGCTATTTCCGACATTCTCTGGCGTTTATAGGTTCTTTCTTTTCGTTAATGTAAGTGCTGTTTTAGATTGATTTTTGTGGGTGCATTGCATGCTTAAAATATGTGTAGATTTTGGACTGAGTTTCTTGTATTTTTGAATCTTGCTCTGAAAAGCGAGAATTTGCATTGGTGCTGTTTTAGATGAACAATGACAGAATTATATAGTGCTGTTGAACAGTGACCCGAATGAGATTGGCTGGCAATGAGCATGATGATCAATGACAGAATCATATTGTGCTGTTAAATAATATTCAATATAATTACGGGGATCAGTTTAAGTAATCCGATGCGGATGCACTATGGAGTTCTCTGTCGATCTTAGAACAGTGCTCTTTTTGAAGTGAATTCAGTATTAGTATAGTTCTTCAGGTTATCTGGAACAAATCAAGGAATAGAATGTCGTCAATCGGTCAATGGAAGAAGAAATTGTCCGTAAAACTTAGGAAACAAAAATCGAGGTCTTAAATTGGAAGTTGAAGTTGAGGAAGCATTTCTTTCTAATGGTCATTTGTCCTTGTTGTATTTCTCATCACACTATCACTGATTCACCCTTATGTAACTTACAGTTAAATGGAATCAGAAAGATAGTTTCGGGAATGGCTGGGGTAGATAAAGTGAAAGTTCGAGTTGTGGTATCTCCTTATCGAATTTGCCCTTTGGGGGCACACATTGATCATCAGGTACTATAATTTACTTTTTCAGTTATGTTAGTGAGAATGAAACTCAATGACTGATGGACAACTTCTGATGTTGATGTATAAATGTGCTATAGCACTAAATGGATATGTTACACCTGTTGAATCTCTACGCCATCTTTCTTATGTTGCCTCATCTCACCCAATATAATTAGACTTAACCATGAAACTTGAGATATGACAAAGTTCTCTTACACTTTCCTTTGGTATTGGCAGGGGGGGACTGTTTCAGCTATGACAATCAACAAGGGAATACTTTTGGGGTTTACACCTTCTGGAAGTAGTGAGGTAAATTTTGACACTGTTCTCAACTAACAAGCTTACATAGCTTAAGGAAGCATGTGGGAATCTCCTTCGTTTGTTTGACTAACTTGGATGCATTAAATTATTAGCAGAAGGAATGAAACTAAGATTAATGGAAAACTGACTGATTTTTTGTATCAAAAGTGCAAACTGAGAAGACAGTGGAAGAGAGAACCTCTGTAGAAATGGTTATCTGTGGGTGATGAGCATGATAAAATAAATTTTATATGTTTACATAATCAGACTCTTGTTCTTAGCATCGCTTCCTCTGATTGTTTCTGCTTTGCCTCCCAACTTTTCTTGTTGTGTCATTCCATAGTTATCTACTCAAAACTTCAAATGTTCAGTTTTACCTTTTTGTTTTCACTTAATTCCCTTTGTGGAAAATCTGTTCTATGTACAAAATTCGCACACGTCCATGAATGATATTTCAAGGCATTGAATTTAGAAATTAGTGAAAAACTGAGAGTCTACCACTTGTAATTTTTCCATGATGTTTAGCAATTGAATCTTTTATGCTGCAGAATAGGTGCAAGGTTGTTGCACATTCTTACTCTGCTTTTGGGCATTCTATTCCCAGGGCTGGTCCTGGTTAGCTTTGGTCATGAATAATTAAATAATCCAATGAACTTGGATATAGTGCAGTTGAGTATGATCTGAATTCTAGGCATTGTTCCAATATGCTAACTATAAGTTTTAAGGATTTTAAACATTAACTGATCTGGGCGGAAGTCTGAAAGTATAAAGCCAGGGAAGTCAGTAAGATTGACTGAAGACATGAAATGACGTAGGATGACAGACAAAGATTGAAAGCATGCAAAAGCTGATTTGGGTCTAGTCTTATAGAAGAAAACTATGGCTGAAAAAGAAATCAAATTAGTGATTAGTTATGGAATTAGAAGGACTAATTGCAAAAAACCTTTATAACATAACTCAATGACAAGTAAGAAGCACACTCAAGGGGATGGAAATGACACCATAACAATCTAAAGTTTTTGGGTGTCAAACTGTCAATTAATCATTCAAATTGTGTCTTATTTGTATGGCACCAGTAATATTGCTTCTTAAAATGTCTATACTCCGAGAATCTTGTGGTTCCCTGTTTAGTATATATCATGATGAGTTAGATATTCTACTACCTTTTCTATTTGTTTGCTGGTCCTTTGACCTTTCAGTTCCTATTGCTTATAGTTACAGATGATCTCTTCGTCTTTCTTAGTGTTCTCGATACGTATTCTGCTATAAGCAATAGGAACTGAAGGGTCACAGGACCAGTATTGTTTTGTTTTATCTTTATATTTTTTACAAAAAAAAAAAATGGTCATTCAAACTACTTGAATTTTTAACATATATGCTAAGTTAATTGAAATGTCTATATTCTTATTTTTAATTATGTTTATCCATTTGATGTACAATCTCTATATTTTCTTGTAGGTTGTAATTCGGTCAGGACAGTTTCGAGGAGAAGTTAAGTTCAGGTGTGTGGTCTGTATTCATAAGGCTTCATATCTTCCTAATTTCTTTTCTTTCTTTCTTTTTTTAGTATTTTATAATGGTCATAATTTTCTTACTGCACTTAAAGCTTAATTAGTCTGGTGGCTGGTAAATTGAAACTTGACTTGCCATCATCATTTATATCGCCAGATGTTGTATTCAGTGACTGCTACTAGAGACTGTTATATTGATTCAATTGCACCGCCAGTATTGGGCTATTCTGATTTTCTTACAGTGCTGTTCTTTTCTCCAATATCCTTATTACCACTATATAATTATTGCAATGTTGCGTTTTAAAGTGATTTTTATATGCAGAGTTGATGAGATTCAGAAGCCAAGACGATCTATTCAGAATGATAATGTGAATCAGGGAAGGGATTACTCTCGGCAAGAAGAATGTGAATGGGGGCGTTATGCTAGAGGAGCTGTATATGCACTACAGAGTAGGGGAAACAATCTTTCCCAGGTTAGAAAATATGCTTTGGTGGTGTACATTGTAGTTCATCATTTAATTGTGTCACTTTACTATGCATTTGTGTATGCTGTTATTACATAAATACCATCATCATTGCTTGACTCATTTGGATAATGATGGGATAAGACAACACTTTCCTTTGGATTTGACGGTTCTGCTGTTTAGGTTCATGTAAGTTGTAAAAATTAATTAAATAGAGGAATAATTATGCCTAAGTTTACTTTGGCTTCACGTTTTCATGAGGAAGAATATAAAATGTATCCATCAGTATAATGTTGAGAAGTCTAAACTTATTTAGTTTGTAGAGCATGATTATTTTTTTCTCTAAGTTGTCTTCTCTTTTAAATGATAGCAAATAGTTATCATAATTGGAACAATTTTATGCAGTGAGCATCAGGATAATGATTGCTTCCTTTATGTTCAATGTTTCAATTTCAATGATGTTCATTGTACTTTGATCAATACTAATGTTCTATAGGCTTTGGGAGCTTAAGAAGTTCCATTGAGTTGTTATGTGTACCGAAGTTTGGGCAGCATTTGATCCTTAGCATCTATGAGGAATGATGGAATATAACAATTAACTTGATCATATTCGGCACTGGTTCCCAGATCATTGACTAGAGGATTATTTCCTTCTTATGATGCATTCCTGGATTCTGTCATCCAGATAACTGTGTGCTTACATTATTTCCACATTACAAAATGTATTTTCTAATTACTCACGCACAAATGTTAATTTTTGCAGGGTATTATAGGATACTTATGTGGTTCTGACGGTTTAGACAGTTCAGGATTAAGCTCTTCTGCTGCTGTGAGATTTCTTTTGCCGTATACTATTTTTTCTTTCTCTGGTCCTTAATATGTGAAACACCTTATCTCTGGGTCCTGTAATGAAAATCAAATTGAAGTTCATGATATGAGGATTAAGTTTGGCTTCTTGAGCAAGATCCATAATACCCCCACTCAGTTCATTTACTTTTCTCTTCCCCCCATTTTTCAAAAGTTCAGGACTTCATTGAAGTAAGTTTGAGAATAATTGGTCTTATTCATATTATTTACATCTGAATAACCAAATATATGTCGGAATTCTGATTGTTTGGTTATAATGTCCATAACAGAAAGGATAACATCCAAAAATATTGAAGTACGATTAACTTATCCTAATGATATTTTAACTAACTAATAAAGGCCTATCATAAAACCAAATAAGATTCTAAGGATAACCTGCTAAAGTACATTTACATAACTAATACTGATCCTCAAACTAAGAGTTTGATGTTCATCAAATCCAGCTTGGAGCCTAGCTCTTCAAATTTAGTTCTTGGCGCTGCCTTGGTTAATAAGTAAACCACTTGCAAGTTCATAGAAATGTAATAGACTTCCATCAAACCTGAATCAATCTTCTTCTTAGTGAAGTTATGATTGATCTCAACGTGCCTTGAGGAATACAAGAGAGTTCCATCGGATCTGAATCAATCTCAACATGCCTTGAAGATTCTTAATGAAGTTTTGAATGTGATTGATCTCAACATGCTTTATTCTATCACCATATTTTGCAAGATTAGTCATGACCAAGTTGTAATGTCCTTCAATGGGCTTTTCAAATGAAATTAATTATCCAAGAACTTAGGCACTTATTTATATAGAAATCCACTCTATTATTCATTTCAAATCCCATTACAGCCATACCCATTTCTTTATATACTTCTAGGGTACTCATAATGGCTATTAACTACCTTCACAACCGCATATAGCTACTCTAATGGCTCCTAAGTATTGATTTCATAACAAACTCTGTGAATCTGTATTCCTTCACAACATGAAACTCAGCTTCTAAATGCTTCTTGCCACAATTGTCTGCCTCTTGCTTCTCAAATCCTTGGAATATGTTAAACCATGATCAAGCAAAGGTTTGAAGGAATAGAATTTATTGCTTTAACATCATTAAATTAAGATTATGCAGGTGTTAAAGAATGGTAATTCATTTGTTATAAACTTATTAGCTAGAAGTTTTATCTTCCAATAATTCCTAACAGTCATGGTCTTACCAATAAAAGTCCATATCTTGTTGCTTATTTTTAAAACTGTGGCAGTTTCCATTAAATGAAATTTATTCCTATAGTTCAATTACTTTCTTGAGAAGATTGAGGAAGAAGGAACTTAACGATAATAAACAAAAAAAACTCACAAGTGTAAATTCTCTAAGTGTTTATACGAATCTTGTATCCAATTGTTGAATTTGTGGCAGTCTTATTTGATATGACTTTTCTTGCGTTAGAATTGATTTGACTGTAAGCTACTGACCTTTTGTTTAGTTTCCTTTCTGGAAACTGATTTTTCTGGTCTTCCTTTTAACCCTATAATTTCCAAGAATTTCTTTTATTATTGCATTGCTTAACAGGTTGGAGTAGCTTACCTCTTGGCTATGGAGCATGCAAATAATCTATCAATATCTCCTAAAGAAAATATTGATTATGATCGGTAAGTTTCTCCAAGATGGATGCGTGTAAGGTTGAGTATTTCTTTTCAAGGAAGGGGCTAACTTGCAGTAACAAATGTCATGCTGTCACATGCTTTGAAGTTGGTAACTTCTCAAGTGTTACAATCACAGTTTAAATGTTTTCATTAGAAGCAAGTAGTGCTAGAAAACATTGTGAACTTGTGATAGTTTAAAAGTGGTATGTAACTACGATTTTCTATCTGATAAATGGAAATGATGGTTTGAGACAGAGAAAAGCTCAACTTAGTTCTTTTTAGAGTTTTCATAACAGAATCAAGTGTTTGACTGTCCCCCCCACCAAGAGTCTCTTGATGAACAGTTTTCACATCTATGTCTACATTTGAACATGTATGTTTTATCCATAATTGTTTGATAAGTAAAAATTTCTCACTATTATTATATGCCGGATTGCAAAGCAGAGGCAGGATGTGACATTGGCAGTACATTTAATAATTTATAATTTGTACTGAAGTAAAATGGTGCATATTAAAGAGATACAGAAAGCTAAAGTCTATCTTCAGCAAGTTTGTGCAGTCTATTGCTGTGCTTTGAGTTAATAATTAGAAACGTTTAAATTGAACATGCATACTCTTCCCTTGAGTATATATCATACTAGAATTACTTGGTGTTAGGATGGCTAGTCACCCAAAAGAAAGTGAGTTGGGTGTTAAATAATTTTTTTCAAATAAGAAATAAGCAGATTACAAAGTCAATAAATAGTAAACAGAGTTTTTAGAAATTTATGGCAAAAACCAAATGCAAGAGAAAGAAAGAAAGATCATCACAAAAAAAAAAAAAAATTTATCTTGGTTTGGCCTTATAAACCACTTAGTATACGTCTAGTCTCTAGGATTCCACTTTAGATTTTTCACTTATTTTTCAAAGTTAAAATGGGTTGTTGCTGCCACTATAACAACTTGACTCACCTAGAGTCACAAATTTTTCTGGTTTGTTCTCCTTACACAGGAGCAGCCTAAACCCACTCAAAGACCCCTTGTCTTTAGACTCTAAGTATACTCTCTAAGAGAAAGGAAGAAATTTGAAGCCTTAAACTCTCAACAGAGTGGATGTTGTAGATGAAGTTCTCGAGAGAGAAAGATGAGCAAGTAGGCATGAATTCAATGTATCAAAATGTTGGTAGCTGATGGGTACTTAAGTGGGATAGGTAACCCTACCCTAAAAGCTAACTGTTGAGGTAGGAGAACCAATCTGCTTAAATATTCCATTGAGCATCCTATACTATTCAATGTGGGACTTGTTATCCCATACTACCTAGTTTCCATCAATTGGCCTTTTATGGAAAGGTGATGTCTTGGCGGTTGCACATAGCACTTCATTTGGCCTCCTGCCGATTAGCACCCTCTATGAGTAGCCCCTTTTGGATCCGCTGATAGCCTAGCTCTGGTTCCAAGTTGATGGAACTAAGTACTCTTATGGATATAATTTCACTACATTAGTTAGTTACAGCCTCCTTAATAGGAATTGGAAAGGGAAAATGGATGAGAGACTTGTCTTAGAGCAAACTGTGAAAATAACCAAAAAAACAAAGGGGAAATAGGGTAGAAAAATAGAAATGCTTCCTTGACTTTCAAGAGGTTAGGAGCTCTCCTAGCACAACATTTTCTGATTGCTTGCCTCCTCCTCAGGCACGTTGTGGGAATATTGAACATTTACTTTATAGCATTTATTAGTAGTTGTTAGAGTTTATCAGTCTTTATTAATATTTGTTAGCCTTTTCTCCTGGTGTACATATATATTGTTGTATCTGAGCATGAATGAATACAGAAGTATTTTTCTCCCCTAAAATTCCACATTGCATCATAGCAAACAGGTCCAAAATACCATTAGGGTTTTAGTGGTTTATGGATCCCGTGAGGCCTTCTCTGCAAAAAACTAGGGTTGGGATGCTTGCGTTGTGAGACCTTTGTAGGTCTCACTGCCCTCCTATGTGTGTTCATGAGGTCTTGATTTGTAGAACCCTAGAAGGCTATGAGGAATGGGGGTACGTGTGGCCCATACACACCACCTTAAGCTCTAACACCAAAATTGCTTAGATGGTGCATGGCTACTCCATTTAGGTTGCAGCACCTCTATCCAATGATGGTATGGTTTTCTCGGCGAGATCCTAGTCTTTCCGTATTTGGGTGCTCTTTTCTTGCCATCCATGAGCCTTTATAATGTCCCTCAGGCTCTGTTTGAAGCTTTCTAGAGTGCAGTAGGGTTGTGGCTACTAACTCTTGTCTCTTATATGAGTTTTTACTCATGTGAAGTGCTCATATTAGCTCTATGGTTACTGTTATGTCTTATGCCTAATGTGGCCAGATCTAGGTGACCTACTGCATTAGTGGCATGGCAAGGAACCTTTCTTCAGGCTTTAACGAACATCTGAAATTGTGGTAGTTTGGATTGTTGATTTGGGAGCTTCCAATCATATGACTTATCGTTATAAATTGTTTGACACACTCCTTGTGCTAGGAATGTTAAAATGAAGATTGCGGATGGTTCCTTAGCACCTATTGCAGGAATAGAAAGTATCCATCTCTCGAATTCTTAAATACTCCATTGAGCACCCCATACTACTCAGTGTGAGACTTGGTATCCCATATTACCAAGTCTCCATCAATTGGCCCCTTATGGAAAGTTGACGTTCTGGCAACTACACTCCATGGCACTCAGCCTCCTTTCGGTTAGAGCTTTTCATGAGTAGCCTTCTTTGGAATTGTTGACAACCTGGCTCTAATACCAAGTTGATGGAGCTAAGTAGTTTTACTTATATAACTTCACTATATTAGTTAGTTAGAGCCTCTTCAATGGGGATTGGAAGAGGAAAATGAATTAGAGAACTAACTAAGAGCAGATACAGTGAAGATAGCTGAAAAACAAAGGGGAAGTAGAGCAGAAAAACAAAAATGCTTCCCTGACTTTCTAGAGGTTGCACACCATTGTCTGATTGCTTGCCTTCTCCTTAGGCACGCATCCCTGAATAACTGTCTCTTTGTCACCCTTAGAGTTATTGAACCTTGGGCTTTTTGTGGTACCCTTTCACAGCCCCTCACTAGTGTTATTGGTGTTAGTAGTGGTTTGGGCTGTCTCCTCTCATAAACGTGGCCCAAAAGTGCTGGTCTCATAAGTAGCTCAAGCACAATAAACTTGTAACATTCGTAGAGTTAAGGAGGCTCTTATACATGGATTTTTTTGGAGGCATAGCTGTTAGAAACAATTTCACATCAGTTCACTTTTTAAAAAGCCATTCAAAAGTAGCATTAAATGTGTCTGACATGTGTAAGTCGACTTATGGAACTCTATAATTGGACTTCTCCAAGTATCCTTTGGGATTTTTCGTATATCGGAACCATGATAGCCTACTTCCCTATGGTTGTAAGTCAACTTCCAACTTTCCAGACAGCATTAAAATTGAAGCACATGGGTAAGTCAACTTGCATCTATGTGGAATTTGACTTCCAAGGTTATAAAGCCTAAACCCAGCTTGTGAGTCAAGTTGCATCACATGAGTAAAGTCTCCTTGCTCATCAGATCTCTTCACATAAGATTCCAAGATCTAAACATTTGAGGAGAAACTTGTACACCAAAGTTCTTCAAGGCAATCCTTTGTTCCATTGATTGGATTAACATAATACCTGCTAAACAATGTTGTAAGAGTTTTGTTGTCATCAAAACTAATAACTCTAATAGTTGGACCCATGGTGTATTACGACCTTGTCAGATTTTGTTACTAATATCTAGCTAATTTAGAAGCATGGGTCCCATTGTAATGAAATTTTTTCTTCCTTCCTTGAGAGGCCTTCTGCAACATATTTCTATCAATTCACCTCTGTGTGGTAATTTGGAGCCTGAGTCTTTCAATTTTGATGTTCCATTTTCTAATTGACTTGTTTGTTTTCATTTTGATTGTCAGGTGATATCAAAGTTTCTAAATGTTGTCTTGTTAATTATAGGTTGATTGAGAATGAATATTTGGGGCTGAAGAATGGTATAATGGACCAGTCAGCAATTTTACTCTCAAGCCATGGTTGCTTGATGTTCATGAATTGCAAGGTAATGTATGGATATGAATATATTGTCATTGAAATTTTCCATTGTAGAAATTCAAGGTTCAATTTTTTTCTTTGAACTCATTTTATTTGATTGAAGCCACATTACATTCATAGATGATAAAAGGAGAGCTTACTCCTATTTGAACTGAAAGAAAGCTCTCAAAAATAAGATAGCTCTATCGTAATGTAAGCATAACACTCAGACTAATCTTATTGTAACTCAAAAACAAATAGGCCTTAATTAAAACCATATAAATAAAATAACTAAAAACAACTATAGAGAGGCTTTGACTATCATTGTTGCTGCACAGCACCATTTCAAAACCTTTCGAGCAGTACCAGAGAGACAGGATTCTATCCATCATGACTTGAGGATTGCATTCGTGATCCTTAGACGACTTAGAGGGATCATTTCTCACAATGTATTCTCTAAATATTCAGGAACTTTGTCCAGCTCTTTTACTCTTCATCCTACTTAATGCTAATTGATCTTCTTACCAAAAAAAAAAAAAAAACTAAAAACAACTATAGTAAAATAAATTTATAATAACATTAAATCTCTAAAACTCCCCTCAAATTGGTCATTCCCAGCTTGGAGCTATTTTTCTAGCATTACCAATTGTCGTCTTTGTGTCCAGGTCTTGTTCAGCATATATATATATATATACATCTATTTTCTGCTGATACCATTGTCTTCTATTATAATTAGGTTGTGAGCACCATGTAGAAATTCTGGTTTTTTCTTTTAATCTACTTTATTAGATTCAAGCCACATTATAAGTGAAATGTGAATACTCCACCAAAAGCTAGCTATTGAGGTGGAACAATCAATCCTCTTAAATATCCCATTGAGCATCCCATGCTACTTAATGTAGGACTTAGGCATCTCATATTACCTAAGCTCCCATCTATCACGCCTCTTGTGGAGCTGACATGTTGACGGTACATTCTGCAACATTTCACTTGATGAAACTTCAGTTGATTTCCCATGCTAGTCAAAACCCTCCATAAGTATTCCTTTCTAGAGTCATTGATCACCAGGCTCTTGTACAAATTGATGTGTATTGTTAAGATCCCTTACAATTGCTTCCAGTACATGTCACAAATAAATTACTTCAAGTTACAAATGCACATTGTAATTCATATATGCACGTAGTGACATAGACTATTGAGGCACTCTCGCTACAAAACACTAAACTACAAAAATGGATGATATTGTGGAGAGAAATTATTCAAATGCATGATTTTATTCATACGAACAATGGTATGTATACACTGTTTTGATATTATTGTTATGTGGCAAAGTAGGTGATATAATTACTATTTGTAGGATATAAGCATGCTAGTAGAAAGTAAATGGTTGTATAGGGTAGGCTATGTATTCATAGGTAATAATTAGCTAGGTAAATTCTTTGTTTATAAATACCCTTTCCTCAAATAAAATAATATAACATATTGAACCCTATTATTCTACAACACTCACTCATAATGGCTCATCAATACACAAGTAATACACAAATCCCTACAATTATGCTATCACTATAAAGGAGATCACATATCTGCACAGTAAATGAAATAATATCTTTTATGATTCTAACACTTTTCTACCATGTTTGAGATCCATTCAGTCTGCAAATCAAGTTAAGTATTGGCATTTGGCTGTACTCAGTACTTAAATCTGATTTATCCCATTAACGTTTGATGGCATTTTTAGCTGAATGCAATTCTACTGCTAATTCATTCTAGCATGATCATGTGATATTCCTCCCTCACTGCCATAATCACACCTGTAAGCACTACACAGATGAATTTTTTTCTCCCTCTTCTTGCAGATAACATTGTATTTCCCCATTTACCCCTTTATTGTGGGCTGAATCAGTTAAATCCAGTTCCCTCTGCTTTCTACCTTTTCGAGCATAAGTATCAATGGATCTAGACCCATCAATATCACATGTCATTTCGTAATTTTTTTTTTAAAATAAGTCTTCAAATTATTTTGTTGAGTTATATTTTAAATTTTTGTTAACTAGACAGCATGTAAATGCTAATCTTTGAGCATTGTTCCCATCTATTTATTTTTGGCTTGAAATTTGGAATAATAAGAATCAGAGCATCAATTACCTGAATTTCTCAAGAAATACATACGGTACTTGTTCCTGTTACTATTAGCATTGTGGGGTTTCACATTGTGGTGTTTGGCATTTGCAGACCAAAGAACACACACTTGTACACTTACCTGAGGCTAATTCTGAACCCCATAAAGCAATCAAAATATTGCTGGCACTTTCAGGGCTGAAGGAAGCTTTAACTAACAACCCTGGATATAATAGGCGAGTTACAGAGTGTCAGGAGGCTGCCAGAATTCTTCTTCGGTGGGCATTTTGTTGTCATTTTTAAAGAGTAAATTATTTTTTCTCTTTATACATTTTTTTGAAATAATTGCAGCTTTGTGCTTTTATTTTCAACTTTGTTAATATATGTATATATTTAACTTAAACCCACAAAAATTCTGAAATTTCCAAAAGTTATGCAAGTTCTCATCTTAACGAGGAAAATTGCACCCAGGCATTTCTCTCTGTTTTTTTTTTAAATTGGGGTGTTGAGTCCGTGGCAAAATAGTTAATGCAGAGTTTGATTATGTTTATTCATATTCAATACTCAATGTAACATTTTTTTTTAACTCATTTTCCAGAGCATCTGGAAATAATGAAGCTGAGACCATCCTATCTAACGGTCAGTATTATGATTAGTGTTTCTTGTGTTTGAACTAGTGACAAATTGTTATTTGATCTGAGCTATTCTCTCTCTCTACTCCTTTGAACAGTTAAACCAGAAGTTTATGAAGCTCACAAGGTACCAACATTAATCCTATGGCCTTTCCTTTAATTAAACATAATTTTGCAACTTCTGGGTTGGCTGTGTGATAGACTGCTTTAGATGATGTCCTCATTTGTGTTTGATATGCTTGAAATGTTGGCTGAATTGTTTTGTGTCATGGGATTGAACTTTTTAATATTGTGAGTACATAAAAGTAACACTTTAATGTCATCTAAAGCAATACTTCAATGTCATGTGAAGAAAACCGTGGGAGGAGTCTGAAACTGAGATGCATAGTGAACAAAATAGTTTGCATTTGGTGACTTGTATATAATTGTGCTATCAAATTTTTTCAAGTTAGAGGAAAATACATGACTTGTTATTAATATGCTGACGTTATTATTGTCATTAGCCAAATTATCTGCACAAATTTGTCAAAAGTTTCAAAATTTTGTTTTTAAATCATTTTAAGGATGTTTATTTATTTATGGTTTCTGTGAAAATTTTACGGGGAGGGCTTGCTGTAATGAATACACATCTTCTAGAACTTCGTAGTGTTAATGATGTTTATGCTGGTCCAAGTGTTGATCCAGCCATGAGGCTTTAAAAAAGGGTATGGAGCAAGAAACAAATAATCTGGCGCTAGTGGATCACATGTAAAATTGAATAAAATTTTGGACCAGAAGAATGGCTTTACATAAAAAGGTAATAAAAGGGGATAGGTAGTACTAAGTAATTATAACAAAGATATAATGAACACGGATAGGTAGTACTAAGTAATTATAACAAAGATATAATGAACACTGCATAATTTTTTTTCTCACTCCCTATCCCACACTTCTCTCTCGCTGGTACCAAATGTGCCCTGATGGAGGTTGTGGGAGAGCAATGAAGGAGAAAGTAACGGCAATGGGACAATCTAGAGACCAAGGGTGATGGTAGAATCATTTTGATTCGTTTTCCTTGGGAAGACTCCAGCCTTTTGAGAAATCATTTTGAGATGATTGATCTTTCTCCTTTGACTTGTCATTGTGTTATGTCCTGTTGTTGCATTCTCCTATTGTCGTGATAATTTCTATCAATCGCAAAGCTTACAGCTCCCTTGGTCCCCGTATCTGCCATTTTGAATGTTTTGTGCATGCTATCCTCTTGGCTAAAATTGGTTGAAGTTACCTACGGCAAGAACTTTATTTTTGACTAGGTTATATTACTTTCTAGGTTATTTAATAATGTTCAATACTTCATTTGTACAAATCATACATCAAAATGAAACTATTTATTGTTTATATGTAAATTAGTAGGTCTGGTCTTTCTTTGTGCAGGGAAAATTAGAACAAAATTTAGCCAAAAGAGCGGAGCATTATTTCTCAGAAAATATGCGTGTAATGAAAGGTACAATCTGTTTACTTTTCATGTTTATTTTCTCTCTGCTCAACCTAATTTGATGAATGTTTGTTGAACCAGGACGAGAAGCTTGGGCGCTGGGAAAAGTAGAAGATTTTGGAAAGCTCATTTCAGCTTCCGGTCTGAGTTCCATTAAAAATTATGAATGCGGTATAGCTTTTAACCTCAAATTGTCTCTCGGGAAATTTATTGGCTTGCAGTCCTGACAACCAAAGAGTGGTGGGAAAGAAAATTTTTTAAACAGTTCGCAAGCATTACTTGGTTGCGCATCTTTATAATACAAGCTTAAAACAAGTAAAAATATTGTCTTTTACTTGCGTGGACTTGAAACAAAATAGCTGGAGTTTGAAAACTTTTTTTAAAAACTATTTGATAACCAGTATTGGTAACTAATCCAAGTTCAAATATTGTCAGACTCCAAATGAGGGGCAGCTTTCCTTTTGTGTGTGTGTGTGTGTGTGTTTACATCTTCAAGATTCAGACTCAATTTAAAGGGTATCAAGTTCCTTCTACTCAACTCAACTATTGTTGGAGGAGTCTGAAAATTCCTTTCTCCATCACATAAACTTTCATTTAGTTGAGTAATTTCCTTTAGCATAATATTTAGTTTCACCTATGCTTTTTTTTTTTAAAAAAAAAATTTGGATTGGTCTTCTTGGAATAATGCTTTCTCTTATGACTTATACTTTCCACTTCTTAACTTGTTGATGCTTAACACTTAAGCAATTGGCCACCTCAGTGCCATTTTCTAGTTCCAGAATAAGTTTCCTCTGTTGCTTTCCTACAACTTTCTGTTGAGGGATGACATGGCATAGCTTGTTGTACTAATTTGAGGCTCTCAAGACATTACTATTTTAAGTGATTGCCTATGTTTGTTGCATAATACTCCCTCCAATTCTTATTACAGGGCACCTTCTAAAAGATTTTTTTTAGTCCTTAATATAAGACACTTGATAAGATATTAATTATATTTGTCCAATATTACCCTTGTTTAAAATCATTAACCGTGAGAGAGAATGTAATGTGAATTTGAAAATTTTCATTTAAATAGGGGTAGGATTGAAAATTTATTCTATTTTCAGACAAAGTTATTGAATTAACCATCTCCTACTCATTCCGATGAGGCAGTCAAAAATGCCTTATAATAGGGATTTGAGGAAATATATTATTAGCTTTCTTCCCGTACAACGCACTCCTATGCATGAATTACAAATATAGTTATGGATAATAATGTTAAATGTTATGACAACCCTAGGTGCTGAACCACTGATTCAACTGTATGAGATTCTTTTGAAGGCTCCTGGAGTCCTGGGAGCACGCTTCAGTGGAGCTGGGTTTAGAGGGTGTTGTATTGCATTAGTGAAGGCTGACAGTGCAGCTGAAGCTGCATCATATGTCAGATCAGAATATATGAAGGTCCAGCCTGAGTTAGCAAGCTGCATAAATGAAGAAACAGCAGTTTTAATATGCGAATCCGGTGATTGTGCTCGTATAATGTAGGAAGCAATTTTGTATTCATTTTTCAGCTATCATTCTTTTGTGATGATGGCAATGACATCCAATGATCTCATTCTTTGTATCTTCATCTATTTGCTTCTTCATTCCTTTTTTGAGAAGCAGGTCTCCTTTTTGACACGTGGAAACTTGTTGCGAAATACTTGAAGGCTATGTTTGGATGCATGAGGATTTGAATTTAGATTTAAATTTGAAATAATTTTTCCATTTGGATATATAATAGCATGTGTATTTGGATGTAATCTTAAAAGTAGCATCATCATGATGATCATTATCATCTTTAATGTCAATAATTTTTGAGTGAGTTGGCTTTTTAGTGGCAATATCAAGGCATTCTTTTTTTATTTAGGCTAGGGTTTCTTTTATTTTTTTTAAAATAATTTTACTTTTGCTTTTCATATTTGAATTCTCTCCCTCCTCATTTATTAAATACTGATAAATTTTTTTATAAAAAATATACAAACAAGCTTAAAGGAGCTTGAATTGGGCTAGCTCTTGGTACTAGAGGGTCAACTTGTTCAAGTCTGATTAAGCATCGACTCATCCAAAATGCAAGTCTAGTTCGATAAGTTCAGCACATTTCTCGACCGTAATAAAAAGCAATGATATAATTTTTCAAAGATCATTTTGACATTGACTTTAATAAAGAAAATATCCTTTCCTTCTCAATTCATAAGATTATTTTATACAAAATTATATATATTAATAAAATTTATTAAATATACTTTACAATTTTATTTTTTTAAAGCAAAAAGATAAATTTTTAAAAATAATCTTCATTTGATAACTTTAATAAAAGAGAAAAAGTTTTAAAAAAATATGATAAGAAGGAATGAGTAATATTATATATATATCTATATAATAAAATTTTAATTTTATCAAATTAAATTATCTTATATTTTGATATACCCACTTAGCTTCTTTATGCTTGGTTTGGACTTTGGTATGTTTTAAAAAAGTAAAAGTGAAATTCAAAAATTAGGTTGTTTGACATGACAAAATTCATTTTCATTTAGAACTCGTTTTCAAATCAAATTTGATAAAATTGGAATCTTTGGATATGGCCATGTGATTGAAATGATTGGAATCAAAAAGTTTTGGAGAATAGTAACTTACGGCCACGTTTGGTATGAACGATTTTTTATGAAATAAGAATAGGAATGGGAATGAAAATAAAAATAAGGATAGGAATGATGATAGAATAACTTCAAAAAATATGCTTAATATGATTGAATTTTTCAATAAAATCATACTTTTACACTAGGGGCGAGCACATATCCCGCAACTCATTAGACCTCTCCATATCTTATGCGAACGGGCGAGCTAAAACTCGCTCATTAGAGAGAAAAGAAGGGTGGGCTATAGTTACAAGGTAGCTTGTGTTTATTGCCAACGGGCAGAATGGATTACCCCACAGCTACCCGTCGCAGAATGTTTAGACGTTTACAATTAAAAACAAATATACATACATACATATATATATATATATATATAGGCATGCAATTAAAAACATCCATATGGTTTTAGTCTTAGATTTTTACGGTATGTTTGATTAGAGGAACGGAAGGAGGAATTCCCCCAATTTCGGGGAAGTTTTGGAGGCCCCTCCAACTAAACCGGGCGTTAGAGTTTTATTCCCAAACCAAAAATTTTAAGAAGTCGAAAACCCTCGGTCCCCGATCCCCTCGCTTCTTCAGTCTTCAATTCTTCATCGTCCAACCTGTTGCCCTGCCCCTGTTCGCTACTTGGCTCGCTGGCGCTACCTCGCTCTCATCTCAGTTTCAGTCTCTCTGTTCGCTCGCTGTCGCTGCCTCGCTGGCCGCTGGCAGCTGGCGCTACCTCGCTCTGTCTCTCATCTCAGTCTCGGTCTCTCTTCGTACGGCTCTCGCTCGGTCAGACCCAGTGCCACAGCAGAGCAGCACAGAGTCACAGACCCAGTCCCTCTCGATCTCGTCTCTCGACTCCCCTAGCGTGGCCCTTGTCTCTCCTTCATCCTGCTAGTGCGTTTCTGCTTGCCAAGACCAGGTAAGTTAACTATTAACTTTGCAGTGATGACTTCAAATCCTTTCTCTGCTTCGTTGCCCGACGAACTACGTGGGATTAAGCTCTCTTCTCTTTTTACTTTTTCGTCCCAAGGGCAGCGAGCAAATTACTACAACCAAGGGACACATAAAGTGGCGCTTTCTTCTTTGATGTGTGCTATATCGTTGTGTTCTATTCCCTAAGGATTTGATTGACAGCACCATCGACCCAATGGGTGAAGTCGAACCCTTTTCATATCCTCCGATTGACCCGACGAACTTCGATCTTATTATAGTGGGCACTGGCCTATCAGAATCTGTTATTGCCGCTGCAGCTGCAGCTGTTGGGAAGACTGTTCTCCATCTTGATCCCAATTCCTTCTACGGCAGCTACTTCGCTACCCTGTCCCTAGATGAGTTCACTTCTTACCTCAATTCCCATTCTGTACCTCGATCAACCACTGCCACCGATAATTTGGGCAATCAACAGGACGATAGCAATCACGTTGTCATAGAGCTCATTCAGCAATCCTTGTTCTCTGATGTGGAAGTTGTGTCTTGTGCTTCCGAGAAAGAAAGCTTACTACGAGAAAATTCCAGAAAATTTAATCTGGATTTGGGAGGACCTAGAACTCTATTTTGTGCTGACAAATCTGTTGATCTATTGTTGAAGTCTGGTGCTAGCCAGTATATAGAATTTAAGGGCATTGATGCAAGCTTTCTGTACGAAGCAAATAGGAAGTTGGTGAATGTGCCAGATTCTCGGGCTGCGATTTTTAAGGACCGGAGTCTTACGCTGATAGAGAAGAACCGGTTAATGAGCTTCTTTAAACTCATTCAGCGGCACTTGGCTGGTTCTTCGGATAGTTACAATGATAGTGATGCAGATTCAAGGGTTGATGGTTACAACATTTCAAAGGAAGATCAGGAGAGCCGATTTGTATGTTTCATGGAGAAAATGCGGTTGCCATCAAAGATAAAATCGTACAGAACCTATCTCCCTATTCTATCTGTTATTTGTTAGTGAGAATTGCTTTCTATTTTTTACATTAAATTAGCTTTTCACTAGAATATGAAAAAAAAAAAAAACTTTTCACTACAATATACTCTTTCATCTTTTGTAGGCATTTTTTTACTGGAACACTGTCAAGCCTATCTTTATAGTGCACGTTCTATGTTCTTGCTCTAGTTACTAAATGCCTCTTAATCCCCTGCAGGATTCTTATGTATGCTATAGCCATGGTAGATTATGATCAAGAGAATAATGAGCTTTGTGATGATTTACTCAAGACAAAAGAAGGAATAGAACGCTTAGCTTTGTATAGTTCATCTGTTGGAAGGTAACTACTTGGTGCCCCCCTCCCCATATACTGCATCCGCTTTAGTTATTCGAGCCAAATAATTTAAGTGTAAGATACTGATGTTGTCTTAGGATTCCCAATGCTCCTGGTGCTTTGATTTATCCTATCTATGGTGAAGGAGAACTACCACAAGCCTTTTGTCGTCGCGCAGCTGTCAAAGGTTGCATATATGTAAGTTCCAATGTATTTATGCTTTTAGTGAAATGGTATTGTGCATTGCGAATTACCACTTTTACATACACTTAAAAATCTAAGACCTTGCAAAAGTGCACATCATTACCATCGTTTAGAACATTTTTTTTTTTATACATTGAATATGTGCTTTGGCTGACTCTTAACTTTTTCTTTCTTCCATTTTTACCACATTGTTAAATAGAGTGCCCTTTTGCGCCAGGTTTACCATACACTCGCTTGAAGCAAAGCTGACCAAGTTTCTTGGTTGTTATGTATTACAGGCTAGGGAGGCGAAGAGAGAGAAAAGATGAGGGAGAGATGGGGAGAAAAGAAGGGGGATATAGAAAAAGAAGAAGGGAGAGATGGAAACACATAGGGAGAGAGAACTCAAACGACACTTCTTTATTCAATTCATAACCGAAGTCTAATGAAAGCAAAGAAAACCTAGCTCTATTTATACAGCTCTAATTTGAACTCTATTATTATTAATTATTGAATTAGAGGAGAGAAAGTGATTAGAAAATGTAGTCAGTGTGTTTTTACTGATCTACCAGTTTTCATATATATAAGGAATATACAAGACAGAGCAATAAATACTTACACCTAACAACTACTCTGGTTAACTCTAATAAATACAAAGAATAAATTCTAATTCTCAACACTCCTCCTCAAGCTAGTGTGTATAAATCATATGCACCAAGCTTGTTACAAATGTACTTTATTCGAGGTCCTCAAAGAGTTTTGGTTAATATGTCTGCTGGTTGATCATTGGAGCTAACATACTTTGTAGCAAGACATCTCGATTGAATCTTTTCTTGCACAAAATGACAATCTATCTTAATGTGTTTAGTTCTCTCATGAAACACTGAATTTGAGGTTATATGCATTGTAGCCTGATTGTCACAGATCGAGTCTATTCTATTGATATTCCCATATTTTAATTCCTGAAGAAGCTGTTTTAACTAGATAAGTTCACATGTAGTTAAGGCCATGGCACGATATTTAGCTTCAGCACTAGACCTAGAGACAACATTTTGTTTCTTACTCTTCCAGGAAATTAGATTTCCACCAATAAACACAGAATACCCTGAAGTAGAGCGTCGATCAATCAAGCATCCAACCCAGTCCGCACACTATACCCAATAATTTGAGTATGATCTTAGGAATCATCCTTATCACTAAAGCCATAGCCAATTATTTGAGAATTCCCTTTGTCTTCATATAAGAGTCCTTGACTTGGGGATCCCTTGATGTACCTAAGAATCCGAACTGTAGCTTTCTAGTGGCTATCACATGGAGATTTGAAGCACTGACTTACCACACTTACAGGGGAAGAGATATCAGGATGAGTGAGAGTGAGGTAATTGAGTTTTCCAACCAGTCTTCAATATCTTTTTGGGTTTGCAAGAGGCTCCCCTTGTCCTGCTAGGAGTTTGACATTTGGATCCATAGGAGTGTCAACCAGTTGACAATCCAGCATCCCTGTCTCTTTCAGAATATCAAGAGCGTATTTTCGTTGTGATATAGCAACTCCAGCGGCCAATTGAGTGAAATGCTATAAATAAAAAAAGAATTTTCCCAAATGCTACACTTTTGAAATTATTTATTAGGATGCTATAACATGAAAAATTGGCTTTTGACAAGCCGAGTACACTGACATGAAAAATGGCCCATGTAAAATTGAGTTTTTAATTTATTTTTTTAATATTTGTTAAAGGCTATTTTGTGAGATACCTATATCCAGCCTACAAACCATTCCTAAATCTTCCATAATTGTTCTCTCCCTTTTTTTGGAACCAGTTTTGGTCACCCCAACATCCAAAATTTTTTATTTTTAATATTATATTTATGAAGATAAAAAATTTATAGAATTTTTTTAAAAAATTAATGTTAAATCTACACTGTCCAAAGTATATATAAATAATTTATAAAAAAATTTAAGAAATTTTAATATTTAATTGGACTATCTAGATTAAATTTGTATTGTCTAAATTAATGATAAAATAGATTTGTTAAATTTTTTATAGTTTTTATTTTAATAAGAAAATAGGACTTTTAAATTTGAATGGTCCAATTCTCATCAAGCACTAAAACTAGTTTTTGTTTTCCCTTATTCTAACCCCAAACATGTATTTATATAAATTATGTATATGATTATGATTATAACATATAAATACTTATATAATTAGTAATTAAATTATATATAAAATATAGTTTTGATGACAAAATTAAAATAATTAAATGATATTAGTAAAAAATTATTATCGAAATTAATTTTTTTAGTAAAAAAAAATTTAGGTGAGTTGGGTTTTGAGAACTCACCAAGATTAGGATATGTTTTTAAATTTAAAAAGCGCTTACAGAAATTATCCATCACCAAGGTCCTCATGTTGGTAGTGGAATTTAAGTCTATGGTCTCATGAGTTATCTACCAAATATTCACTAATTGGACTAATCTCTGTTAGTTATGGCCGATTTTTGTAAGCGTTTTTTGAATTTAAAGACATGTCCTAATTTTGGTGAGTTCTCGAAATCCAACTCACCTAAATTTCTATTAAAAAAATTAATTTCGGTAATAATTTTTTACTTATATCATTTAATTATTTTGATTTTGTTATCAAAATTATATTTTATATATAATTTAATTACTAATTATATAAGTATTTATATATTATACTCATAATCATAATCATAATCATGTAAATAATTTATATATATACATGTTTGGCCTAGGATAAGGGGGAAACAAGAATTGGTTTTAGTGCTTGTTGAGATCTGGACTATCCAAATTTAAAAGTCTTATTTTCTTATTAAAATAAAAATTATAAAAATTTTAACAAAGATATTTTATCATTAATTTAGACAATACAAATTTAATTTAGATAGTCCAATTAAATATTAAAATTTCTTAGAATTTTTATAAATTAATTATCTATATATACTTTTGACAATGTAGATTTAACATTAATTTTTTATCTTCATAAATATTCCCTCCGTTCAAAAATATAAGACATTTTTTATCAAATTTCACCCTTCAATAAAGTAATTACCTACTTTCAAACTAAACCTATTTTTCGATACTTATCCCTATTAAATACTCTACAATAAATATAAAGTTATTATCAATAGGACACTTAAAAAAAATAATGATTACATCTCGAAAGATTAAAAATGTTTTACATTTTTGAACATCTAACTCTTCAAAAAATGCCTTATATTTTTAAATGGAGGGAATATAATATTAAAAATAAAATTTTTTGGAAGTAAGGGTAATCGAAATTGGTTCTGAAAAGGGGGAGAGAGCAATCATGGAAGATTTGGGGAAGGTTTGTAGGGTAAGTTTAGATATGTCACAAAACAAACTAACAAATATTTAAAAAATAAATTAAAAACTCGGTTTCACATGGGTTATTTTTCATGTTAGTGTACTCAGTTTGTCAGAAGCTAATTTTTCATATTACAGTATCCTAGTAAATAATTTCAAAAGTGTAGCATCTGAAAAAATTCTTTTTTTTTATTTATAGCATTTTGCTCAATTTGCCCAACTCTAGCTGATGACTGAGCTACCTCAATGCCCAAAAAATGCTTGAGCTTACCCAAATCCTTCGTTTAAAAGGATTTCATTAAGTGATTTTTGAGTTTAGAGATCCCATCCTGATCATTACATGTAATAACAATGTCATCCACATAAACAACTAAATAAATGCATTGCCCAAATGGTGAGTGATGGTAGAACACAGAGTGATCTACAGCACTATGGATCATTCCATACGCTTGAAGAACGATGCTGAACCTACCATACCAAGCTCGAGGAGATTGTTTTAGTCCATAAAGGGATTTACATAGTCTACAGACTTTCCTAGACTCCCCTTGAGCAATAAAACCAGGAGGTTGCTCCATATTCGCCTCTTCCTCTAAGTCACCATGAAGAAAAGCATTTTTTATATCAAGTTGATAAAGAGTCCAATGATTGATAGCTGCAATGGCCAAGAGTAAGCAAATGGATGAAATTTTGGCAATTGGCGAAAAAGTGTCATCATAGTTGAGGCCAAAGACCTGGGTATAGCCCTTGGCAACTAATCGGGCTTTCAATTGATCAATAAAACCATTAGGAGCAAACTTGATGGTAAACACCGATCAACAACCAACCAATGACTTTCTTGGAGGTAAAGCGACTAGATCCCAAGTATGATTAGTATGGAGAGCAGCCATTTCATCAAGTATTGCCTGTCGACACCTAGGATGGGCAAGTGCCTCACATTCCTAGGAATGGTAACAGAATCCAAAGAAGACACAAAAGTAGTACATGATAGAAATAACTGGTGATAGCTTAAAAAATTATAAATAGGATGGGAATTATGAGTAAAACGAGTACCCTTACAAAGGGCAAAAGGGGCATCATCAAAAGGATGCTAGATCTGAGCAGGAGCAGATATTGGAGTAGGGGGCGAGTCTATGGGAACATCACTAGGGTTTGCCAAGGAGGAAGGATGAGAGCAACGGTGGTATGTTTGACTAATGGGTGGTTTATTAATAGTGGGTGGATCAAGGTAAGGAAGAGGAAGGACCTCAGATACAGATTGTTCAGACTCGGAGGAGAGAAAATAAGGAGAGGGCCTCAGCAAGCATGACGAAACAGACGACGGTGAGAAATGACGTCAGAGGCGCTGGGAAGATGAAGTTGTAGAGAGAAACGGAGGCAGCACGTGGGAGCACATGCGGTGGTGAATGGCAACAGAACTCTGGGGCCTGATCGGTCGGCGGCCTTTGGATATGCAATGAACGGAAGTCAAACAGTGATGGGTCAGTCAACAGAGACGCATTGATGAACAGTGACGCACAGTGAAAAAAATTCTAAAAAGGAAAAAAAGAGATGGGCTGGAATGAAGTACAATCCTAGGAATTTAGAACCGCAGCTTTGATAACATATTGAATTAAAGGAGAGAAAGTGATTAGAAAATGTAGTCAATGTGTTTTTACTGATCTACCGGTTTTCATATATATATATATATATATAGGGAATATACAAGACAGAGCAATAAATACTTACACCTAACAATTACTGTGGATAACTCTAATAAATACAAAGAATAAAACAAAGAATAAATTCTAATTCTCAACATTAATAAAAGAAATTTCAAGCAAGTATCAATATTTAAGCAAAAGCTAACCCTAATAATCCAAAGAATTGCTCCCTCTATCCCTATATATATATGGTGTTTTCTAGAAGCTTATTTTGTCTCTAAATATAAGAGGTGTCATGATATTTTTGTGTAATTAGACAATTTTGCCCTTGTCTTGAAAAAAGAGAAGATATACTAACTGTATGTTTTACCCACCACCACCATGATATTAATTGACATTATTAGGGGCAAAATTGAAAAATTACTGTAATTTAATGGGATTTCAACTGAATAACAAACTTTTATTGGTATGCATGATTTGATTAAAAACACTTTATATGTAGGGATGGAGTTAGTACATTTATTCAAATGAGATCCTAATCTGGATTAAAGCTAAGACATAATTCTAATAAAACAAAAATCCTAAATCTTTAACATAAAATAGGTCTAATTATTCACCCCATCATTGTAAAATGTGTCATCTGTGGCAATCATTTCCAGGATACACACTCTCTCTCTCTAGAATTCAGAAGTTTATAATTTTGACGTAAAGGGTCAGTTGAATTATTTTTAGATGGGTATAAATTTTTCGTCCATTTAATTTACCAGAGCAATTGTCTGTGTTCTGACTATTGTCGTTGTGGTAGTAGATCTTTCAATTTTGGATGAGACTTGGATATCATAGACGTGGTTTTAATTCCTGAACTTTTCTCAATGGTGATTGAATTTTGAAACTGAAGGTTATTGACTATTCCTTTTCCATAGATGTGGAAAATTTGTTGTGAATATTGTTTTATTGAACATGTGTGCTTATTTAACTTCAACTCATTTACAGGTTCTCAGAATGCCAGTTATTGCTCTTCTTGTGGATAAGGTATTTTTTTAATCTTTGTTTTGTTACAAAAAACTTATTTCCAAGAAGATATGAAGTTACTATTCTTGAGGCATGAAGCAATTTTGTCTGTCATTGCTCAAACTGATGTTTAGGCTACTGGGCTTTATAAAGGCATTAAAGTAGCCTCAGGTCAGGATTTATATAGCGATCAGCTAATCCTGGATCCATCTTTCACCGTTCCGTCACTATTGCCTTCATCTCCAACAGATTACTCCATAGAAAGGATTCATATTTTAAGTCAGAGAGAAGTTAAAAAGATGGTAGCCAGAGGCATATGTATTACAGGGAGTTCCATAAAGACAGATGTGACTAATTGCTTGGTGGTGTATCCTCCTAGATGTAAGAAATGTATTACCTGCATTTTTTTTTTTTGGATAGACGTGTATTGCCTGCATTTTGTTGAAAGGAAAAAGAAGTTAAAGACATATTATGAAAGAAAAGGAAATTAACCTTCTCTTTTCTTCGTTTAGCTTTGTATCCTGAACAACATACATCAGTCCGAGCTCTTCAGATAGGATCAAACCTTGCTGTTTGTCCTTCGGGCACGTAAGTTCACACATTGAGTGTTGACATGCTATTTTATTTTGCATTAGAATGCCTTTCTTTTCCTTCTAACTATTTTGATTTTCTCATATGATTGTCAAATAGTCTGAGCTGTGATCTATCACAAAGTATTTTATAGTTTCTATTGTTGATCAAACAAATAAATACCCATTTATAGTACATTTGTTGCACATATTTTTGCCAGCATATCTGAAAGTCGAGTCTAAATTTTTGTAGTCTTGGGCCACTTGATTTCAAAGGTGCGCCTTCTTTTTGTTTCAGGAATGATTTTTTTGTTTTTTTAATCATGAATGGCAATACTAATCATATTTTCTTCTGGTTCAAGGACTTGTCTTTACATATGTTAGGAGATAGAATTATGTATGTGGCTTCTCTTTGGTGTTCGGAATGTTGATTTTTTTTGAGGGATTGACAAGTTCTGAAATGCATAGAGCTTAGACAGCTCTTTTACACATTTGAATCTTCTATGGCTTTGTTGCTGTGACAAGTTTTCAGATTGTCTTCTCATTTCTAATTTAGATACTTTCCTATCTCTCTTGAAAACTTTCTTCGTCAGAGAGATTAAAAAAAAAAAAAAAAACACATTTTCTTTTGGTGATACTTTCATGGTTATCTGCTTTGCTTGGCATACAGAAAACCAGAGGCTTTGTTTTGTTGAAGGTGTCTAGAATGAAATAACTAAATGAAACGCACAAGTAGGAATTTCTGGCGATTTATTTACTCTACCTCCTCGTCAGCATAGTTTATTCCATTCACCCCTTGATTTTAGTGGCTGCCAAAATTGCTCGCCTCTATCATTAGATAATGTTTCTCTTGTTGCTCATCAGATAATGATGGAAGAAAAGATGAAATATAAAAGCAGACTGCGGGCTGTTATTCAATTCATTTATGGATTACTCAAAATAATAAATAATAGTCTAATTAGTTCGTTATGATTCAAAAAAGCTTCTGTTGTCTTTGGATTCAAATTTGCAGATTTTTAGTTGTGTCATAATATCATTTTTTTTTTACATACGAATATCATGTACTTTATCTTAGACTTTAGTATAGTTTGAATGGCTTCTAATACCTTGTGAGTTCCAGTCATGTTACCGTATTCATTTTTCACGCCCAGTAATCACATATATTCTTTACTCTTTAAATAATTTCTGAACTTGATTTGACTTGGTCTGCTTGCTCTTATTTAGTTTTGTACTATACTTCTGCGCGGTTTGTAAAGATGCTGATGAAGGAAAGAAGTTACTACAAGCTGCCATGAATTCTCTTCTCGTGATGCCTGTATCTGGAAACGCTGATAGTATTTCAAGTGATCAAACTGAGAGTGCAGATATAAAGCCCATTGTGCTTTGGAGTGCATTTTATATGCAGAAAATAACAGAGGTTTGCTTATAGATTTTCCACTCTCATATGATGCTTAATTTTACCTGCATGTTTTAAGGGAACTTCTTCCTTGCTTTATCTTTTATGCTGCATCTACTGTATTGCAATATCTTTGGAGGTTAGCAAAATTTATTGACTAATTCGCCCTCCCCTCCAAAATATCTCCTCTCCCCTCATTTTGCTCCCCTCCAATTTGGGTTTTTTTTTTTCCCCGGAGGGAAGCAAAATTCCTTGACTAATTTGCCTTCAGTAATATAGTGATATTCCATAAATGCCCTTACATAAAAAAAAATTGCTTTTTTCAATCGACCTTTGGACCTCTAATTCCTCACCTCCAGACCTTTCAATTGTGGTTGTTTCACCATCAACCCTTCTCCTAGTTTCCCTTCGTCATCCGTCTTCCGTCATCCCTTATCCTTTTCTTACTCAACTTGCAGCATTCATGTTTGCACTTCGGTCCGATTCTCATCAGTCACCTAGCCACGTTTTGCTGCTTCTCACCCTTTCTCTTGAACCAAACACAACCTTAACCAAAAATGCCTATAAGGATCAGTACGTCTTTTTTATAGAACACGCTATTGACAGTACTTTGAGATTGGTTCCATGACACAATTTAACGTGATTCCAAAATTTGCTGGCATGATTTTCTACTCACTATAAAATTATTTTCATTTTAGGGTAAGTTTTTTGATCGTATCAGTTCCACTCCTACACCAGATGGGAATCTAAACTACAATGACCTGTTAGATGCAACTGAGAAGGTACTAAGGTTTCGGCTTAAATTGTTTTCCTCATTGTTATGTCAAGAAATGAGCATGGAAATATTCATGTTCTGGCATTAACTTTGATTGGTGCATCATTTTCATTTGTTGTGGATGACGCTTACCAATTTGATGGTGGTACTTTCAGCTGTTTCGTCAATTGTATCCCCATGAAGAATACTTTCCAGAGACCAAATCATCTGAAGAATCCATAGACGATAACGGGATTACTATGGAGAGCTAACAAGTGAGTGCAGCAAATAAATAAATGCTCCCTGATCTGTGAGAAAGAAAGCTGTAATGATATATGCGCATGTCCTGGAGATTTGGGAAGATGGGAAATCGAAGTTACTGATTACGGCGAGAATTGTAGCGCACATATTGTGAAGGAAAAAAGTCGTCTTACTAAAAATTCGAGTGAGGGATGTTCATGCTTGTCCCATCTTGATTGGCAAGGTTTCATCCCGGCAAAACAAAAAACCGACGGGATAAAAATTATGTTCAGGACGGGACACGGTATCATCAACGAATTGTCCCACCCTGCCAGAATTTTTTTTTATTAATATTTAATACTTTATTTATTCATTTAAAGTTGGAGTATATTTTTATAAATTTTTTTGGTTTATGTTCTTTTCATGTAACCATGTACTTGCTAAAGTTATATATATAACTCAATGATTATGTTATAATATTTGTAGTTTGGAAGTCATGTGATTGTTGTATGCTTGACTTTTAAGTTTTGGTGGTTGTAATTGCGTTCATTCACTTTTAAGTTGTAGTTACAGTAATTCAATAATTGAATTTATGAACTAGTGTTGGCTTTATTTTGGATTTAGCAAATTATGTAATTTAATATTGTTTTGCTTGCTTTATTGGGATGTTTGGTCATGTCCTGAATCTGAGCAGGACATAGGGGGGAAAAAAATTAGTCCTGTTCATTTTTAGAGACGGGGTGTAGGATAGGGTTGTTTTGGTTCAATCCTGAACTCCTAACTTAAGTTGATCTAACAAAGTAGTGATTTGTTGAAGCTGTACATTCACTTTTCATGATGTATGCTGGACTCAGCTTCTAATTTAAGAGGATGTGGGAATTTCAAGGCTATGGAGCTGAAGGATCGCTCACTTGTCTTGATTCCCAATAGCACAATCTGCAATTTGCATTTTGACATATTGATGTTTGCTAGAATATGTGTGGGCCTGAGGTTATAACGTGCCTGAATCTGTTGCAACAGTGCTGAAGTACACAGGCTTTTGAAGAACACTTTCATTGTTGCTATTGTCTTGAACTGAAAGTAAATGTGTTCACTGACATCTTTGTAGGCATTAAAGTTTTATTTTTACTTTTAGTGATAATTCATGAATTAGGGTTTTGAACTCGCTTCCCTATGCAATTGTTGTATAGATGGTGCTTGTTGAATGTTAACAAATCCTTCCTATTATCACATGAAATCATGACATCTTATGAAAAATTGGGTCAACTCATCTTGTTGAACTAATAAATCATTAGACTAGTGTTTTGACTAGTATAATAGAATGCTTTGTTAATGATTTGATTGACTATGGTTTTTTTGTTGATAATAAATGATTTGATCAGTTTAATGACTTGTCTAATTTTTAATATTACGCCTTTTTTATATTAAAGCTGGTTGTCAAAAGGGAGGAGGGAGTTGTGTCTTGTTGCACGTGAAAAGGATGAAAAGGTAATGTAATTCCTTTTCTTTTTTTAATTACAAACAAAGGCAAAAGCCTATAAGGTTAAAAAAGGAACGAGATGGTAATTAATTCATGTTTTTGGAATTGAATTTTTTTTTAATATAAGACTACAAGAAACTATGTAAAGAGATAATGATTAGGTCATATTTAAAACTATAAGGGTTTTATAGTCAAGGGCTAATTGTTAAAGATTGTAATATCAAAATTATCACTCAAAATGTTGTAAACTAGTAGATTAACACATCTGTTTACTTTTTCTGTAAATATAGTCAAAAGTGATAACTTAATTTTTCATGGTAAAATTTTTGATTGTGAGTGGCTTCCGAAGTAGCTGTATGTATTCAATGAACAACATAATATCCATAAAATTTGAGTAGACGTTAACATTAGAGATCTTAGCAGTCCAGCAAATATTATGACCTTCTAAAATTCCATTAACTTAGCAGCTGTATTAGGGTAATAATCAAGATTTTTGCAAAATTTATCAGTTCAATTATCCTTGTTGCCTTTGATAATACTTTTATAAGCAACAACACCATTGAAGTTCATCACTATCGAGTTTGATGCACCCAGGATCCTGCACAATTTAAGATCATTGTCTGTAATGACTAAACATTCAAGGAACTGACCCAATTGAATTCAGGGTGGAGGTGGCGGCAATGGAAGGGAAAAGAATCAGAACTTTCTCATCTCCTTGACGAATCATCAACATTTTATTCGCTACCTTTTTTTAATAAATATTAACACCTAATTTTAATTTTGCCACAAATGTTCTCGCCACCTAGATAAGCCTTTGCCACCATTAGTTGTTAGTTTGACACCTAATGTTTCCTAATTAAAAATATGGGAAAAACATAATTATTAATCTATATAGTTTTGTTAGATTTTGTTTTTAGTCCCTATAATTTTTTTTTTCAATATTTTCAATATTTTTAGTTCTTATAAGAATTGAAAGCACTAGAAAAAAAAAATTATAGGAACTGAAAGCAAAACTCAATGAAATTTTAAGGATAAAAAATTATGTTTTTTTCAAAAATCTATTTTAAATATTTAGTTCAATTGGAAAGAGGAAGTGGCCAAGAAGGTTGGAAGAGAGAAATGAAGAGGTAATGATAATAAAATCACTTAAAAATATTATGTTTACTTGCATTTGGTGAAAGGTGACGGCAAATGAAATTAAAGGAAAGTGAATTGGTAGTTACTTCCTATGACATCCTGAAATTTAGATCTGAGTACTTATAGGTGTAAGCAAGAAGTTTTGATTATTATGTTATCTTTCCAATTTAAACAGGAACTCAAATGTGAAGAATCTAAGATGTACTCAAGATAATAGAAAGATAAAATTCAAAAAATCCTTATAGTTAAGGAATTTATAAGAAATTTACCTCTGTTCAGTTATTACATATAATTTCTTAGATTATAAATTATGGTAAGTGAAGACACAAGAAATTCTCAATAAAGTCAAGTGATGCATAAGAATACGAAATAAAATTAATGAAAAGAAAGTTAAAGCTAACAAGAACTAATTTGGTCGAGATTCTTGCCAAGTGACACCCAAAGTTATTAGGTGAATTAGGAAAAACCCTAATCATAATACATCAAAGGATTATTTTACGAAAGACAAGTACAAAATTAGAGATGTTAAATATTTGTATAGATTATTTCATGATAATTGAAATTTACCGTGTATTTATATGAGGACGAGATAAAATTGAAGATATATTTTATTTTCACTTATAACTCAAAGGAGAAATATAAACTAAGTCAAGAATTAGTGGGAAATTGATGACAAAATCATAGACCTAGAAAACAAAAGGAGACATGGGAAGTATATATAGGCCACATTTCTCTCTCTCACTTCATGTCTTCTCAGGAGTCGGCTTTGCTCCCTTCCAAAGTCTATCGTCTGCACCCAAGAATAAATCTAGACTGTCTAAATTAATTTGAATAATTCAAATTTAATCTATTTATTTTTATTTTTATTCATTAAAATAAAACATTTATAAAAATTATAAAAAAATGTATTGTAATAAATCTGCTCACCAATCTGGACAGTTTAGATTTATATTATGAAAATAAATATTTATAAAATAATTTAATAAATCTTTTCATTGCCAGTTTGGAGAGTATTGATTTAATTGGACGGTCTAATTTAATATTATAATTTTTTAAAATTTTTATAAATTGACCTATTTTGGTTATATAAATCTAGACTGTCCAAATTAGTGAGCAGATTTATTACAATATATTTTTTATAATTTTTATTAATGTTCTATTGTAACAAATAAAAAATAAAAATAAAATTAAATCTGGACAGTTTAAATTTATTTTTAGGTATAGAGGAGCCGCGGAGGAGCCACTTTGCAGAGGACCAAAGCTGACTCCGTCTTCTCATTACCACTCACGAGACAAGGTGTTAATTCAATATTATTAATTAAGCAATATTTAGTACGATACGTGTCGCCAATTTTTATTAATTTTTGACAAAGGATCATGAATTGCAAAACCTTGTTATTGTCAGCAAGAGTTATAGGTGGCAGCACAATTTGAATCAAAATCAAGATTCCACCGCTAACCTATATCTTCTTATTAATGTAGTTTTTCCATCAAGTATATTATAAAAGATTGAAAAGAATGAAAAGAATGAAAGTTCGATTATCTCTCTCCTGGATATTTAAATTGATTTGAGATAGTGGAGAAATTATAACAGGTGGCATAAGATTAGATTTGGTTTCATCATCCTACAATTACAATGGCATAAAATGGATCATGTGGTAACCAATGCAGATTGGCTTGATTCATTTTCATTTAACAAATTTTTATAACCGCCACTTCCTACTTTCTTCAAATGCCTCTTTATACATGCTTTGGCATTTTTTTTCATTGTCTTCCTCATTTTTGTCTGCTATTCAAGACTTGAAGAGAAAGGATTTGGGTCTTCAATGTTTAGGATTGAGGTAGAGTAAACCTTACCATTTTCTTCCTCTAAGTTATATCTATAGCCCAAACTTCCTTCACAAAACTTTCTCCTCTCCTTAAAAGCTATATATTCATGGTCTTAGAATTGGGACTAAACCAAGATTGAGAGAGACCATTGAAAGAGAGTTTTGTGATTTGAAGGGCCTGTCAGAAGCTTCAGAGTTAAGAAATTGCTTGAAAGAAAGCCAGGAACTCAAGGTAGTAACCTTGTCTTTCTCCCTTGTGCATATTTTCGTTCATGTGATTGACATGGTTGCTAAATTTGTTAGTTGTAACATGCTACTATGAATATGGTACCATGTTTATGTGAATGTGTGTTTAAAATCGTGAATTATGTTGTAAAGAAGAAATCATGCGCACCATGTCTTGTTAGAACATGTTTTATGTACTTGAAAATTATGTTGTTGCTTGAATAAACTATATTAGGTTGTGGAAATGGCTTGAGTCACTACTGAGATTGTTACAATCTCACTCTCCAAAATATACTAACCATGCTTTGTTCAAGCACAAGCAAAGACAAAGGCAAGGTAAAATTCATCAAGCTTGATTCTATGGAAATTGTTGTATTGAATTTTGTATGAATATTCTGACAAGTTCATGAGGTGTAAGTATGATAATATGCTCTGTATCTATGACCCCTAGAGTAGCTATATATGTATGGAAAGTTGTTTCCACATTTTGAGCAAGTCATGTATGAACATATAAGATCAAATTAATCATACCAGAGCAAGAATCTATTAAGAAGTATAGTGCTGTTTAGGTTCTAAGGGTGATCTAAACAAATCTGATGGTCATGGAACATTTTATGACCAAACAAGACATGTCAAAGTTTTATATAAATTTGGAATCATGAATTTTTTTGTTCTATACATTAAGTTATGAATTATTCAAATCAAGAACATAATTCAAGGCTAGTTTACTAGAAAAGCAGGACATGAGTTATTAATCAATGAAACGGTATAATTTAAACCACATGAAGTCAGGTTTCATAGTTTTCCATTATAGAGAACTTCCTAAGCTTTCCATGGAACCTTAGATCATGTTAATTGGATCCCTACAACTCAAGATATGAATTTTCCAAATTTGAGCATAAAATCTGGATCCAGTACATAGTCCAGCTAAGACAGTCCTAAATATTAAATAGATTATATCCATTGAGAAATATAAAGTTATTTTTAATATTTTTCTGATATAGTTAAGGTCATGAGGCTTTCAAGAAGTCTAAGATCACTTCAATTGGAGTTCTATGTCTCTAGTTATGAATGTTGAAATATAGAACACATAAATCTGGACTCAGTATGATTAAGAAAAAAACAGTTTTGAAGATTCATTATACTGTACTAATTGGGGAAGTAAAAGTTGTGTGCCATATTTTTATCTAATAGAGGACACCTAGGGCTTTATGATAAGTCCTATATCACCCAGTTTGGATAAGTATAGTCCAAGATATGAATTTACAAAGCTAAGACAAGAAATTTGAAAAGTTGGACAGGGAAAAACAATACATTTTAGCTGAATGAATAAATTGTATTAATTTGCTCAGTAAAATTCAAGTTTAGTATTTTTCCTAGGAATCATTTGTCATTAAAAGGAGATATGAATGAACTTTTATAGAATAAGTTATGAAATTTTGAAGTTAGTCCAAAATTCTAAAAATATCAAGTTAAAGCAAACCAAGATTGAGTTTGAAATTTTAAATCTTTCTTGTCCCTATGGAACCTAAGATAGCTTCTATTACCAAATTATGGTTCCTAAAATAGGATGTTTCACTTCTATTGACAACTTCATTGCTTCCCATTCTTATAATCTTGCCACTTGACATCTAGCATTATCATGCAAATTAATCCAAAAACATAGCAATATTATTTCCCTTGGTTCAATTTCAAAGAGCTAGACACTGGTGATAACTATATGGGTATTATAATGTGACGAATAAAGATTCAAATATTTGTTAAGAGATATGCTAATATTTAATGCCAACTATGCTTTGAATAAGATTGCCTTCAATAATAAAACCCCTAGAAAAAAAAAACTACATGGGCTCCTGTTGAATTAAACCCTTCCCTCTTTTTTGGGGGGGACTAAAATGTGAGGGAAAAGAAAAGGTATAACAACTAACAGTATCAATAAGAGGACATTAATAACTAATGATATTATATAGACAATTAAGGTACTTAATGCAGGCTAATTAATACTTAAATAATCTTTCTTAATATAATAACTAAAAAGAACTAACAAGATTAATGTTTCTTAACTAAATGATATAGAATATAAGGATAATTAAAGTTTATGATATAGAATATGAGGATAATTAAAGTTTCACATATTTACAAATAAATTGTCATTTAAAGACTCTAAGTAACCTTTTTGTGGTTAAATGATAGACAAGCTCCTTAATTCTTTTTTGTTTTTATTTTTTTATCTATTTTTCCTAAAGGCAAAGGTAAAATCTGAAAATATATTTCAATAGATCTTACAATCTCATTTGTAAGAAATTTTGAATCATTTTCATCTCTCATCAAATTACTTAAAAATTTACATTATAGTAAAAGTAAAATTAATAACTGGAAAAATATTCTACATATTAGTCCTTGTAGTTTTTTATTTTTATTATAGCCCTTATATTTATTCCTAACTTCTTTCTTCTCAAGTATATAGATTCCTTTGAAGTATCCCCCAAGATTATCATGTAGCTTATGACCTCTCATAACAGCTTCTATAGTTATTAAGCACCAAATTTAAGATGTTATAAAAAGTGCATAAGGTATTGGGATGTGGGAATCTTGGCACAAAACAATTTCCAAATATATATATATATATATATATATAAGGGAAAATACAATAATATATCCATATATCTTGATGGTTTTATTTTTAGTTCTTTTAATTTTATTTTATTTTAAAAATATGCATAAAGACTATTATCTAACATTGACAAAGTTAATTTCACTTTTGGACCCTGGTGAAGATTTTTTTTTTCTCTTGCTTTTTATTTTTAATGAGAACTAAAAAATTTATAAAGCTTTTACATATATAGTTCATGTTATAAAATTAAACTAAACAAACAACTTAACAATTATGACTGATTTATTATATTTATTAATGATATATTGTTGTATATCAATGATAAATTTCTTGTAAATCTTCAAATTTTTAATAAAAAACTCTTGTACATGAATAATAAGCTCCTTATATATTAATATAAATTGACTATACTTTTAAATTTTCAAAAAACTGGTCCACATTTTTTAGGTACAAGATTTTTTCTAGCTAATGGGCCAATTTATACTAAATTTATTTTCATATAAACATATTTTTTCATATCAAAATAGGGATTAATTAAGTTAAGCTCATATGAATGCTCACACCCAAAAAAAAAAAAAAAAAATCCTTGAATTCCAACCCATAGTTTTTATATGCATTTTCAAAGCTATAAATACTAATATTGCAAACACATCAAACTAAAAGAATTGAGAATAATGAAATAAGATTATAAAAATTAAAAATAAACTGTAATTAATATAAAATTTTTCCAAACGTATAGAAACTTACTATTATATTTTCTCAATACAGAATTATAGATACTAAAAGATTAATTGATGTTACAGATTATAAATAACTATTTATACAGCATTTTGAAAAAATAGATTTATATGGGCATGTTTTACTTCAAATCTGAGCAAATTATATTCTATTTAGTTACAGACTTACAGTATCAATTCATAAGAATTTTTATCCAAAAAAATACATGATAGATAAGACATGCAATTTTGAAGTGACCATGACGAGCTACATAAAGAAATAATAATCATGCAATTAAACCATGATCCAATCAAAGTTAACACAAACTAGAAATTCATAACATACAAATATTACATAAATCACCAAGACACACAATTTACATATCTTACATCAAGACGCTGGTCATAAGCCAGATATAATCATATTGGCTTTCTATATAAACATTATATAATATAAAATTAACACAAACTAGAAATTCATCCCATGCACTACGCAACAAGACCATTTTTTTGCTTTCACTCCAGTATCCTAGATCTTTGAATTAGACTAATCTAGTCAGCAGCTTGTGAACATCTCTTTAGGGGGCATACCTCCTTCCAAGAATTTAATCATTGCTACATATCCAAAGTTCAAACTCGAAACCTCTAATTAAGAGGAATTAATTCCCTAGCTAGTTAATCCAAGCAACTGGTGATTTAACAGATCCTCTTTATGGAAGCCTAAGCTGCTCACAGCTAATTCTGGCATTTATTTTGTACTCGGACTATGAGCACTAGATTCTCTTCCCTTTATGCTCAAGGCACCTTTTCCTCCCTTTAACTGGTGGTCTTCTACAAGGAGAGCCATTCTTCAAAATGATTCCACATATACTGGTAATTCTCTGGTCAAGATAACTCTCAACTGTGAATTTTTTAGGAATTTTCACGTAGTCAGATTCTGATGCAACGTTTTGTAGAAATTGTGAATTTACAATTGTTGCAGATGTGTACGTAGACGCGTCGATCCTGTTCCCTTTGTGCTCATGACATCGCTTTCTCCCCCTAACTGGTGGTCTTCTACAAGGAGAGCCATTCTTCAAAATGATTCCACATATACTGGTAATTCTCTGGTCAAGAGAACTCTCAACTGTGAAATTTTTAGGAATTTTCACGTAGTCAGATTCTGATGCAACGTTTTGCAGAAACTGTGGCTTTACAATTGTTGCAGATGCGTACATAGACACGTCGATCCTCTTCCCTTTGTGTTCATGACATCTCTGTCTCCCTTCAACAGGTGGTCTTCTACAGCGAGTGCCATCATTCAAAATGATTCCACATATATTTGCAATGCTTCCATAAAAAGGATCTTCAACTGCAATTTTTTGAGGGTGTTTCACATAGCCTTCGCTCTTTTGTTGGAATTGTACACTGGGTTCAAGGCTCAGAAGATTCTCTGATTTCACTGTCCTTTTGGAAGCGGGCCCATTTATTCTCATTCCTTTGTGTTCTACACACCTCATTCTTCTTTCAGCTGGTGGTCTTCTACAAACAGAACCATCACTCAAGACCACTCCACAGAATCTTGTAGTAGTATTCTCCTCAATGATAGCAGGGACATCTTGAACTAACCTAGGATTTGATCTGCTAAATTTAAATACTCCAGGTAAGAAATTATAGTTGCCTGTGTCTATTTCGTGTAATTTGCCATCTGGCCAAGGCATACTGCTTGATTTGATTCGGATACCCACTTGCTTCTGGGTGAAAGGTTGAAGCAACTTGGTCATGCTTGAAAATGTTGGAGGACCTGAAACAACTTTATTAATCTCCTGAAGAATATCATCCGGGCGCCGGATTCCATTATTACGCGCGTTCCATGCATAATCATATCTCCAGAGAAACTGACATTCCGTTTTCCTGGCGTCTTCTACGTTTTGCATCTGGTCAACAAGCATTATCACAGAAGTGAAAAATACGAAATGTCAAACACTTGCACTTCAATATATATATATATATATATATATATCCATCTTGGCTAGAAGATAACCTAAATTTTCCACACTATCTTCCATGCCAGTAATATCTGGCCTATTCAGTATTAATGTGTAATGAGAAGGCAGATGCGTATCGGCATTTCTTAAATCATCTCTGTTGGATTTAACAAAAAACGTAATACATCACAGCAAACATAGATTTCTTTGACAGTATTTCTTCGTTAACAATCTCCATAAGATTGATAAATATATACCCCTCGTTTATCTATAAATAAAGCAGAGCTTATACCCCCAACATATGACCAGAAAAGCTGCTAAGCTGATCAATTTTACTATATCCCAAACAAATTAAACACTGACATTACAATTATTATTAAAGAGAAATGAGCATGCAGACTAATTCTGAGTTCAGCACAGGCAGAAAGCAATTTATTGACCAATGCCTTTACTGATTAACAAAATTGATATTTATGGCAAACGAGATATGTGCATCAACAAAGAAAATGTCAAGTTGAAGCCAACTTGGTTTTATAAATTACAGCATGCACATGAAAAGAAAGATGTTACTTATATTTGTACTTACAGGAGCCCATCTATAGCTAATCGCATAACCTTGTGAAAATATTTCCTCAAAAAATCCCTGCCCTTTATGGATAGAAGCAGGATTGTTGTGTGGATCAGAAGTTAAGCAGTTTTTGCTTAAATGAGCTCCAGTTCGGCCATACTGTTGGAGTCTCGTTCTCACATTGTCAGCCTTTCCAAGGTAAACCCCAACTATACGGTTAGGATGAAGCTTGTGAACGTTACGCCCTAAACCAATGGGAGACACAGCAATACCAAGCTCATAAACTCCTGGGCTCGATTCTTCTGGGAGGTTGTGAATTCTGTATCTAGCTGACCCTTCTTTCCCTCTAGAATAATCCTCCCAATCTGAAGGGCCAATGAGAATCTGAACGAAACATGTAGCATGAGCAATAAACTGAGTAAGATAGATAAGCGTCATAAAAATTAATTGGGTAACATGAGAATTAACAGCATCCTCAGTCTCAAAGGAAATTCAAATAAGAATTAGTTACCCAGTAATGTGAGTACTCCCCCCCCCCCCCCTTTTCTTTTTCTTTTTTTAACCACAATTTAGAAGAATGAAATAGGAAACACCACCAAAATCAGCAAGACAAACCACTCAATCACCCAATCAGGAAGACAATCCTCATCAGTAACAGCCAAAGTCAACCCTTCACAATCCTTCACCCAAGTTCATTCCCAGAAGCGTATTTTTGAACCCGAATTTTCTGGACCTGAACCAGGAATCTTCAAATAATAAAAGAATTTTCAGGGAAATGGAATCATATTTGCTAAAACGAATTCATTAAATGCGGATCTTGCACATACCGTAGACTTCACAATTTAAAATCCAAGAAATCCACTTTTGTACGAGGCACCACCGATTAAATTTCAAATTACGGATTTGTTGGGAAAAAATAGATAAGAAAAATCACAATTGAAATAATAAATCACACAGCAAGAAACACAAAAGCAGTTAAAGTATTTTCGGACCTTCCAATCAGAGAACTTGGAATCGTTCTTTGTTCGTTTACATTCTTCCCTCTTCAACCTGGGAACGTCTGAGGAGAAGCCTCCCGCTGCCATCACTGACTTGCACTTCTTCGCCGACAAGGATGTGACCTGTATCAACGCATTTCATTTTCAAAATAACTTCGCCTCCAAGACAAGCCCTTTGGAAATTGACAGAAAGATACCCTTAAAATATATAAAGGAAAAACAGCACCTTTATCCTTACACTTTATTTGACTTTTGGTTTAAGTCTTTGCATTTTAATTTTTATATTTCAGGTTTTAATAATTTCCTTTATCTGCAGCATTGGTTTTTAATTTTTTTTTTACCAGCTTGGTTTTTAAATTTTTAGAAAAATATTGACATGATAGAAATAGCATTAATAATGCTAAAATGTCAGTTAACAATATTAATTTTGAGCTTACATATCAAAATAATATTGGCATGAAATTATTTAATAAAAATTTAAAAAAACATATATCAGATGAAATAAAAAAATTGACCTGAATTTTTTAAATTCCATGTAGGCTCTTTTTTTTGAAAAAAAATTGCTTATTAAAAATTCCTTATCCAACTTGACACATGAGTATAAAATTAAGGGTATTAATTAACATATCAGTATTATTAATACTTTTTGTACCACATCAACATTCCTTTAAAAATATAAAAATCAACATTGCAGATGTAGGAAAATGTAGGAATCTATAACACCAAAAAATATAGAGACTTAACCAAAACCTAAGCAAAATATGGAGACTAAAAATAGTGTTTTTCCTAATATATAAATGACAATAAAATCAATATAATGTCATAATTTTTCTCAAATTTTATTTTTACATTAATAATTTTTTGTGAAATAATTAAAATACTTTTAGTTTTAAAAAATTAAATATCATTGATTACTTTAGTTTAATGAATGATTATTTTTCTTCTAATAATAACTAAAAGGAAACAATTACAACTTTTCTTTTATAAATTTTTATTAATTAAAACTCAAGTGTTATAAATATTTATGATTATTTTAATTTAAATAATAACTACTTTTTAGTTCAAGCAATTATTATTAATATTATTTTGGCAATGACCATAACAAAATAAACAATTATAAATTTTTTTATGTAAATTTTTTATCAAAAGAAAAATCATAATTTTTTGCTTTATTCTTATATTTGCCAAAAAAAAAGTAGTGGTTATTTAAAATAAAGTTGTTGTCCATATTTTCTTTTTTGGTATTAGAGTTGTTACATTTTTTTTAATTTTAAATGGGAATATGTTAGTCATTTCATCAAAAATATTAATATAAAAAAGGTCTCTAAAAATTTAAGAAGAATTATACTCCTTTAAAAAATATAAAACATTTTTAATCAAATCTCATTTCTCAATAAAGTAATTACCTACTTTCAAACTAATCTTATTTTTACATATTTATCACTATTAAACACCCTAAAATAAATATAAACTCATTCATTAGTTAGGACACTTTAAAAAAAAAAATAATTTTACTTTGAAAGACTAAAAATATCTTATATTTTTTAACATCTAACTTTTCAAAAAATACTTATATTTTTAAATGGAAGAAATATCATTTTGGAATCTTATTATCATTTTCATATTTTAAGAAAAAATTTCTCCCAATTTCCCGCTGCCTTTTCTTAATTAATCATTAAATAGTAAATACATATCCACAGTACATATATCATTTTATGAAAATATATAATGTACTCTCTAGCAAAACAAAGCAGTGGATTTTCATTCTCTAGCTAAACAAGGACTCCCTAAACACCTATTGCCTTTTTTCTTTACTATTCATCCACTACAAATTTAAATTATTCAAATTAAATTTATATTTTTAAAAATTATTAAATATAAATAATTTAATTTAATTTAATTTAATGATTCAAATCTACTGCAACTTCTCTTCTACATTACATACAAAGGAGGAAAGCCAACTCTCTTAATGCTAGATTTGCTTCTCTCCATTTCCTCCCCTCTTCATTTTCTCTTCACTTTTCATCTCAATCATTAAATTTATTTTTGAATGATTAAAATTAAATATTTTAAAAAATTATTATTATATTTATTTTTTATAAAATTTTACATTTTAATAATAACGAAATATTAAATCTTAATTATTGAAAAATGAATCTAATGATTATACTTGAGTGTCAACTTACTTGATTAGATTGGCCTATCTGCGTGTGGGGGGTAACATAGGTAGTTTATCTACCTCTCCACTTATAAAAAAAAAAAAGTACAATATAAAATTTATGAACAGATATGTTAATTTCAAACTCTCAATTATAATATAATATAATATAATTTATTATTAATTAATTTATATTTTTTTTACAAGATTTATTTTAATATACTTCTAATTCATTATCTTACGTAAATAACAATTTTATTTTATTTCAAAAATTATACGCATATTAAGTATATAAATAATAACTTATTTTTTATGAGAATGTGTTGTCTAGGTTGACTGGCCCCTACACTTGGGTTCTTTCTTTGATTAAGATAAGAGGACATTTTAAATTATGTTAAAAAAATAAACTTTCTATTAGGTTCCACTCTTCATAATTAATTAAAAAAAGAAAAGTTGCCACGCAACAAATATTTCTAGATCCATTACTTATCTTTTAAGCATCAACTTTTTTTTTTTGGGACAAAAAGCAGCAACTTTACTTCTTCTTGCCTTTTGTTTTTGGTACAAAGCATCAACTTTACTTTTTTAATGTGTTATCCATATGCATATTATAAATTAAAAAATATTTTTGCCCATGCATCACTTAAAAAATGAGACATGTACTGAAATAAATCATATACTATTTTGTAATTTGTTGTTAGCTTTGTATTTTATTTTATAATTTATTATCTTATACACACACAAAATACAAGTAACAAAATGTCGGTCTTTGTCTATTATTATTTTAAAGTAATAAATAATAGGTATAAAAAAAATAATAGGCTCCTATTATACCTATTTTTCTATGGATCTCATATTTACTACTTTTTTTTACTATAAATCTTATCCCTATCTTTTATAATGGACCTCACATTTCTTTTTTATATCTAAATATTTTGTTAAAAAATAAATAAAATATTATTTTATTGTTCATGAACAGTTAATAATGTATTTTACTTATGCTAAAATAAGATTATTTGAATAGAATATAATATAATAAAGTAAATATAATATATATATATATATATAACATATTCAAGCCGGGCAGGACTTTTAAAAAATACCTCATATTAATAGCAAGGAAGAATATAACACAAACAATTATTTTTTAAAAAAAAAACAAATGGGTCAAAGACCAAACAAATCAAGGCGCAATTACACTTGAATAAATTTAATAGTAACCAACGGGCATTTGACCAAGTAATTAGAGACTTAAATAACTTAACTTAGACTCTCAATATTTGAATCTCATGATATGCAGCAATCGAATTAATTTGAAGTACATTGATAATAAATCCAACATACCTTGATACTTCAACATATCCATCACTATCAAATCCAACCTACCTAAGATCTTGGAGCTGTATTTAAGATCATAGTCGATAATGACTAAACATTTTAAGAAAAGAATCAATTGAATTCAGAGAGGTGGCGGCGGCAATGGAAGGGAAAAGAATCAAAACTTTCTTATATCGTTGCTTGACAAATCATCAACATTTTATTTGCTACTTTTTAAAAAATAATATTGACACCTAATTCTGATTTTGCCCCAAATGTTCTCGCCACCAGGCCTTTGCCACCATTAGTTGTTATTTTGACACCTAGTGTTTCCTAATTTAAAAAAAAAGGATAAATTAGCTATTGACAAAAAAAAATCTTGTACTTAAAAAATATGGATTAAATTTTAAAAAATTTGAGAATATAGCTGATTCACATTAACATATAAAAGGTTTATTATTGATATACAAGTTTATCATTAAAAATTTAAAAATTTATAAAGGTTTATCATTGGTATATAATGAAATATTATTGACAAATATAATAAATTGATTATAATATAAAATATAATAAATGTTGGCTTGTTTACTTAATTTAATTCTACAATATGAACTATATTTGCAAAAGTTTTATTAAAAAATTATTATTAAATATTTAGTACAGTTGGAAAGAGGAAGAGGCTTTGAAGGCTGTAAGAGAGAAGTGAAGAGGTAATGATAATAAAATCACTTAAAAATATGAAGTTTACTTGCATTTGGTGAAAGGTGGCGGCAAATGAAATTAAAGGAAAATGAATTGGTAGTTACTTCCTATTGACACCTTCATTGCTTCCCATTCTTATAATCCTGCCACCTAAAAGAAATTCTTGCCCCTTAAATTGATAGCTTGACACCTAGCATTATCATGTAAAT